GCGGCGGGTGGGGGGGGGCTGAGGGGCTGCACGGGGATGGGGGGGAGGATGGAAATTCCCCTGGGATGGGCATCCCCCCAGGACAGGCATCCCCCCAGGACGGGCATCCCCCCAGGACGGGCATCTCCTGCTCCGTGCAGCTCTCCGGGATCTGTGCGCCCCGCCAGGCTCCTGCACCCTCCGAGGTCTGTGCATCCCTCCCACATCCCTGATTCCTCCCGGCATCCGCAGCTCCCTGGGACCCTGCACAGAGCAGCCCTGGGGACACACCAGAGCGGTGGCCACTCACAGCCTGAGATCTGTGGCGGCTCCGCAGCCTTCGTCCCTATTTCTCATTAGCAATTAATGACACTGCATTTGTGAGTCGGAGCCTCCCCAGGCAGGAGGATCCCCTGGGAGCCCCTCGGCCCATCGGGAGGCACGGAGGAAACGTCCTCGATGCCATGAAGCCATGTGCAGCCCTCGTCACGTCTCCCAAGGAGTCCCTAGGAGCCACGGGCACCCAAACGCACCCCGTAAAACCTCGCGCACCCCAAGCGCGAGGCCCTGGTGCTCCAAGCTCCTCCCATCCCGTTGCATTCCCGGGCGAGGATGCACAAGTGCCGGAGCACGATGGAGCCTGGGCGGTGAAACCCCCTCGTGCCTTGTTTCTACAGGCAGCTGCAACAACTTAGAGGGATTTAATGCGATTTAGATAATCCACTTGAAACGCATAACGAGGTGCGATTGTTTTCTCGAGTGGCTCCCTGCACCCAGGCAGGAGGCGCGGGCGCCTTCCCGGGCGCCTTCCCGGGGGCGCCGCCGGCATCCCAGAGGGCCCCGTCACCACGGCAACCCCGGCGCGGGCGCACCGCTCCCAGCGGGATGCTGCAGGATGCGGGGTTGTCATGGCACTCGCTGGCGGCGGGGAGCGGGGCCAGGCGTGCGGCCCCGAGCCGGCATCCTGCGACCCGAGCACCTGAATCCCGCCCGGAGCAGAGCCAGGGGTTGCATCCCCAGAGCAGCATCCTGCGACCCGAGCACCTGAATCCCGCCCGGAGCAGAGCCAGGGGTTGCATCCCCAGAGCAGCATCCTGTGACCCGAGCATCCTGAATCCCGCCCGGAGCAGAGCCAAGGGTTGCATCCCCAGAGCAGCATCCTGTGACCCGAGCACCTGAATCCCGCCCGGAGCGCTGCCCCTCTCACCTCTCGCACACCCGCACGGTCCAGGCAGCGATGATCCAGAGGGAGATGCTGAAGACGAGCAGCACGGTGCCGGGGCAGATGGTCATGAGGGTCTTCATGACAAAGCGCGTGTTGAAGTTGATCTTGTTGAGCGCCCCGATGCTGCGGGATGAGGCGTCCGTGAAGAGCTTGCTGTGCAGCAGCATCACACGAGCAATCAGGTAGAGGCGCAGGAACATGGGGATGGACAGGATGATGTCCACGTCCGCCTCCGCGCGCGACGGCGTGTACGAGAAGGCCAGGCGGGCCGTCCAGAAGAACTTGTACTCGCCGGGGATGGGGTGGATGGCGCAGACCAGCATCTCCAGGCTGATGTAGAGGATGCGCTCGTACGTCATGGCGATGCGCCAGTCGTCGGCCCCGTTGTCGATCACGAAGAGCTGCCGGGAGGCGGGAGCGCACGGTCACGGAGCGGCCGCCGGCACGGGGCGGCAGCCAGGGACAGGGGAACGAGGAGCAAACGGCTCCGCCGGTCCACGTGGGGTACGGTGGGAAAGGCACGTGCACCGAGGAGCGGCTGCTCCATCTCCTCCCCAGACGCGGCCAGGCAATGCCAGGACCACGGAATGCCGGGATGCTGCCAGCAACAAGAGCAGCTGCGGGTGTTGCGGCAGGGGGGGGGGCGGCGGGGCCGGCGGGCACCGG